ATGATTGCTCAGCAGAGAAGAACGGGGATGGATCCCAGTAGAGTAGAGATGAGGGACAAAGGTTCCCACCCACAGAACATAGTGGCAGTTCTTTGGCTGAATACCCGATTTGGTTGGGGAAGGATGACCAGAAAAGAGGATGGAAAAGTTGGGGGAGGGATCTGATTTCCTGGGGTTTGAAATGCTTCCTAATTTGTCCTAGGCAATGGTGGTTTGTAGGAAGACCACAGGTTGGGAATGCCCTGATGTGGGCTGGGCTGTGGGAGATGGCTCAGAAATCAGGCACACTGTCCTCTGGTTCTGCCTTTGACAGCTCAGGAACTGTGGCTGGACAAAGGATGGAAGATGAGACCCCATCAGAGGTGACATTGCAAGGAGAGGGAGACCTGGGCTTCCTTAGCAGGATCCTTCAGGCCCTGGGAAAGCCTTAAACAAAAGCCAAGGAAGCCAGAGTGGCACGTGACCCAGTTTTGCAGCCAGAGAGACAGCATTCTGCTCGGGAAGCTGGTGGCACACTGAGTCAGCCAGGCCTAAAGAGCAAAATGCCAGTCTGCCTGGAGGCCCAGTGGGTCCCCGGTTCCTGGAGAATCTATTAACAGCATCTAGTTTCCCCTCACCAGACTGCACGGGTGCCTAAGAGCGATTCCATACTAAACATAACTCAGCCCCGGAAAGTGGTCCTCGGTGCTTTCTTTTTTATCCTCGACTTTCAGCCTGGCTTAAGTAACAGCACACGACACACACAAAGAAGCAAGACGAGAGCTTGTAATTGCATCAGAGGGCTGTGAGGGAGCCACCCCACCCCCACCCCACCAACTCCTAACTACACTTGAGGGAAGAGGAGGGAGGGGTGTGTAATTTGTTCATTTCTTGCATTTTATGGAACACTTCACTTTGCTTTCAGCGTAATTATTGTTGTACTTTTCCTGTTCCCCATTTGCCGTGTTTAAAAAAAAAGTCCTTCATTCCCCCCTGCACACTTTTCTTAATGCATTAAAATTAATAACTCGTAACAGTGACCTAATTTGCTTTGAGTACTGTAACTCAGGGGGGTTTGTTTTTGTTTTAGTTGTGTGGGTTTTTTTTTCCCCTCCCTCCTAGATCTGCCAAACCCTTGACACGTTACTGTGGCAACAGGCACAACTTGGTGAGTTCATGAATGAGCCCCTTTGTGCTCAAAAAGCCCTCTCCTCCACCATTATTTGAGACGTGCATGTTTCTCCTTGCCAAGGGAGCCTTGTGCTTGGTGTGTTGGAATGGGGCTGCTTTGGGCGTGGTCCCTGAGCCCACACCCTCCTGCCCTACAGTAGCATCTGCTGAAGGACCTCCTCACCTTTCCTAATCCCCTTAAAGTTCTGCAACAAGGACATTTGCCTGCCTATGAAGATCCTCTACCTTAAAATTTGCCTCTATGGCTAATCTGTTTTTCTGGACTCCAGTATTCTACCTTTCCCTTCCATGACCTTAGACCTTAACTAAGGATGTCGACTGTGGATCAAAGCTGGCTTATCCCTTGGCCATCACCTCCATCTAGCCTTCGGTCTTTCTCTGCAAGAGTCTTCTCATCTTCTCCCTGTGCCCTTCCTGGTCCCTCGAACATATTGTATACCATGGCAATCAGTAGTCATACTCCATCCCTTCATCAAAGGCCCCTCCTTTCCCTTAGGACTATGTCAGAATCTTGCACACACACTGTTAGCCTATTCAAGATCTGCAGGCACATCATCTTGGCTTCACTGTCTAACCAGCACTCTATGCCTTTCCCCCTAGCCATCTTGATAATACTATGCCTTGGATGTTGTTCCCCAAGCTTGGCATGGTTTATTCCCTCTGCCCATCTCCACGTTCACACATGGAGAAGACAGATACCTACTCTCAGAAATATGTATGGGGGTTGATCACCCTACCCTTGAGCTCCAACAACTCTCAGAGCTTCGCCCATCATAGAGCCTATGTCGCCTGATTGTGTGAACATAAATCATATCTGTTTCCCCAGGTTGTCAGCAAGCTCAGGGAAGGAAGGGGTCACTTCTGGTCACTACTATGTCTCTGACACCTGGCATAGAGCCTGCCTACCACAGTGTCTTTCTCTCACAAATCCTGTCTATCATTACACCTGCCTATCAGGACGAATGAATGAGTGAGTGAACAAATGATAAACAGACTGGAATCCATTACTGACCTTTCTTTTTCTCCTTCCCTTCCTTCTTCACCCTCTCCCTTACTCTTTCTTTCCCTCCTTTCTCTTCCTTATTTTCTTCCTTCTCCCTTCCTTCTGTCAATCACTTCCCAAGCATTCAGTTACATGAAAGAGAAGGAGGTACACAGAAAGACAGGATCAAGATTTTCTTTCCATAGCTACATGGAGATCTATCACCCCTTCCACAGACAGCAAGAAAAGAAAAGGAATTAAGACTGTATCAAAAGGCTTGGTATTGATTCTAAAAATAATGGCTGATGTCAAAGTGATTTGAGTCTATTTCTATGTCCTGGCTGAGATCTGGCATCCCCTCTGCCTCTGTCTGACCTCCCAGGACCATGATGATGGAACCAGCCCTCTCTGACTTGATACTTCAATTCTGGTTTTACATGGTCTCATGCCTGTTTGTCTCCAACAAGCAAGGACATGCATGTGGGGGTGCAGGGCAGCTTCCCGGGTCTCATCTGGGAGCAGTCAAGCGGGCCAACTTGAGAAGCCCTATTTCAAGGCTGATTTAGAGTGATGCATTTTAAAGCCTTGCTTAGCTGCACACAGACTCCCTGCAACCTTCCTGTCCTTACAGAGGTTTTCAGTCCACCAGGAAAAGCTGAGACTCAAGGCAAGGAACCTAACAAGCACCAGGCTCGTGCCTAGGGCAGTCCCTGCTACAGCTAAAGCAGCAGGCTGCTCCCACCAGGACTGCATGTCTGCTCTGAGCTCCTTCCCTGTGTGTGGACAGAATCCTAAGTAAGGGCAAAGGCCTGTGTATTTAATTTCCCTGTAAGTGAATGGCTTCTGTGCTTTAGAAAAAAAGAACCCAAAACACTCAAACTACGAATCTGTAATTGCTTGAGATTTCACCTCCTGGTCACACTTCTCTTCCTATGGAGTTATTAAAACCCACACGATATGGTCTAAGAATTTATTAATAGTCAACATAAACAGATAATAGCTCACATAGCCTTAACAGCCATTGCATATTAAGTAATGAGGAGTTATTTAAAAGGCGCCTCAGTGGAGAGCAGTGGACTTGTTAAGTGTGGAGTTACTGCTGTGGTGGCGAGAGCGCTCACACACATACACGAGGCTGCCCTATGTCACTATGACCCCCATTTTCGTGGCAACGAGTGGGTAGATTGTCCCTGCTTAAGAGAAAAGCATCCAGATTAATGGGAAGAGAGTAGCCCTTTTCTTCACAGAGCAGAGTAAAAATTGGGGGCAGTTCAACAGCTCTGAAAGGCAGCCAGCCTCTCTTGTCTCCTTGTCAAGGTGCCTCAAGTCTGAGCATGCCTCTCACATGCTGTTCTTTCTCCTCATTCTCCGGAAAATGAATCAGTGAACTTAAACTCATTGCAGCCCAGTGGGGACTCCATGGTCCCTTTGGCCATCCCAGCCCCAATTTGCAAGGCCTTCCTTCTTAGAGTGATCACATTATCTGCTCTGGGGACCCTCCCTGTACTCTTTCAGAGTGTCTTATAACATCTCAAATTCAATAAGAGATGCCTAGCAACCAGATTGGAAGGCAGATAGAAGAAAAATTGTCTTTATTTGTAGACAATCCTATATGGGAAGAAGAAAAAAACCCTAAGGAATCTACAAAAACATCACTAGAACTAATAAATAAATCCAGCAAGTTTCCAAGATGTAAGGCAATATGCAAAATAGAATTTTTATTCCAAATACCAGCAATGATCCCAAAGAGAAATTAAAAAAGTGACTCCATTCACAATAACATAGAAATAACATAAGACTAGAGATAAACTTAACAAAAGAAGTGAAAATTTTTTGTACTTCCCTTTAAAAAAAAGTTGTTGGGAGAAATTAAAGTAACTCTAAATAAACAGAGACAATAAACAGGGATTTAGGAAGACTGAAAAATGCCAAGATGGCAGTTTTTCCTAAATTATCTTTGGATTAAATACAAGTCCTATCAAAATCTCAGTCCCTGAGATAATTGGTTCTTAGAAGTTGACAATTTAAGATTTATATGAAAATGCAAAGAGCCCAGAAGAGCTAAGCGAACAAAAACTAAAAAAGAGTAAGGTTGGAAGACTTACATTGACTTGTTTTAAAACATGCTACAAAGCTATATTAATCTGCACAGTGTGGTACTGGCATGATTGTAGACGTATAGGCCAATGGGACAGAACCAACAACTCAGAAAGAAACTCCTGGGTTTATAGTACTTGTGGTCAATTGATTTTTAAAGAATGTGCTGATGCAAGTAAAGGAAGAATGGTCTTCTCAACATTTGATGGTAAATCTAAATATTTGCATGGGAATAAATAAATTTATATCTAGTCTCTCAGTACATCCACAGACGAACCAAAAACTGATATTGACAACAATTTAAGAGCTAACATTATAAACATTATAAAGGAAAACCATTGTGTACTTGAGGCTTTTAATTCACACTAGAAACACAAGCATAAAAGAACATAACAAGAATTTTGATGCTATCAGGATTAAAATCATTTGCACTCAAAAAGACTTGTATTAAGAAAATGAAAAGACAAGCCCCACTCTGGGAGATCATTTTGTAAATTCTATCCTTGATGAATAGCATGTTCAGAGATTATAAAGAGTTACTGAAAGTCAACAATAAGAAAGCCAGAAACCTAATTTAAAACTGGGCAAAAGTCAAGAGAATGAGAGGGTAAGCCACAACATGGGAGAAAATGTTTACCAAAGTCAGGTCTGATGTAGGATTACTATCCAAAATAGACAAAGAACTCTTACAACGTAGCAATAAGATCACAAACCACCTAATGACAAATAGGCCTTGTGATTTATCTTAAAGGACACTTCACCAAAGAAAATCAACAGAGGGCAGTTAAGCATAAGGAAAGATCCCAACATCAAAAGCCAAGAAAGGAATTACAAAATGGGCCATGAGATGCTGCTATGCAGCTCCCAGATGATGAACGTCTAGAACACCATCAACAGTGAATGCCCACAGGTAAGACAGCAGAGGTTCTCCCTCACTGATGCTGAGGATGCAGAGAGCCATCTCTTGGGGGTTAGTTATACAAGACACAGCCATTGTGCTCATTGGCATTTACCTAAGTGAGGTGAAAATATATGTCTACAGGAAGACCTGCACGTGGTTGCTTAGAGTGATGTTATTCATAATTGCCAAAACTTGGAAACAACTAAGATGTCCTTGATAAATGGTTTATCATTCAGTGCCAAAGCCACCCCAAACCAAAAACAACCCCCCCCAGAACAAAGTAGATCTATCAAGCCATAAAAACAACAAGGGTGAAGCTGAAGTACATATTAGTAAGTGAAGAAAGTCAATCTAAAGAGGCTGCGTACTATATGACTGAAACTATAAGATGTTCTGGAAAAGGCAAACCTATGGTGACTATAAAAATAATAGTGTTTGCTGGGGGTTGTGGGAGGGAAGGGTGAATAGACGGCATACAGAGGCTTTAGGGCAGAGACACTGCTTTGTAGGATACTGTAACGGCGGGTACCAGTCCTTTATGTGTTTTCCAGACATACAGGATGTACACAGCATCAAGAATGAGTGGATCTTAGTACAAACAGGAGGCTCTGGGCACTGCCAGCATGCAGGTTGGGCAAAGACATGGGGAATTTTGCTGTGAATGTAAAGCTGTTCTAAAAAGTTAAATCTACTTAATTAAATATGTATGTATGATACATGTATGTGTGCATGAGAAAGGGAGGTGTGTGTGTGTGTGTGTGTGTGTGTGTGTGTGTGTGTGTGTGTGTGTGGTGTAAATCAGGTATACCATAGAGCCAGTGTACAGGTCAGAAGAAGACCTTGGGTGTCTATCTTCAGGTTGGCTGTTTTATAAGCTTCCAGATATTCTTCTCTCTGTACCTCGTATATCACTGTAGAAGCTTTGGGGTTACAGATGTGTGCTATTAGCTCCTGCTTTATGTGAGTCCTGGGGACTCAAGCTCAGGTCCTCATGCTTGTGAAATAAACACTGTACCTCTGTAGTCATCTCTCCAGCCCCCAACTCTACTTTAAAACAGGCAGAAGTCTCGAAAAGACTCTTCTCGAAGGAAGATATGTCAACTGAATAAGCCCATGGAAAAGGGTCAGCATCATTAGTCACCGAAGAAATAAAGTTTAAACTGCAAGTTAAATTTCATGCCCAACAAAATGGCTGCAATCCTAAGGAGCCTTTGGTAAGGATATGAAGTAAATGGAATGATAAGTGTTGCTGGAACATTGCAGGTAGGAATACAAAATGCTGATGGAGAGGATCAAAACGGTCTGGCAGTTCCCAAAAGTGTTAAGTATAAAGTTGTCCTACAATCCAGCAATTCTACTCCCAGGCATCTACACACAAGAAATGAAAACACGTATCTCCACCAAGATAGGGCCATAAATGCTCACAGCATAAGGGAAGTAACATGTGAAAAGCTGAAATGTTCTCCAGCTGGTAAAAGATAAATAAAACAGGGTGAATCTATGTAACGGATACTTGTCTGCAATCAAAAATAACAAACTATGGTTATCTGCTAAAACAAGGACAAACCCTCAAATCACTTCATGTGAAAGAAGCCAGATGCAAAGGACCACAGCCCGTTGGGATGCAGTGTCTAGAAAAGACAACCCCATCAAGGTAGAAAACAGACCTGTCCTTTGCAGCAAAGCCTAGGAATGGGGGCTGCCCTCAAATTGGCATGAAGGACCATTTGGGAGAGATGAGATTGTTCTAAAATTGAATTGTAGTGATAGTCACACAATGGTGTACATTTACTAAGCAGTGAATTTCGTGGTACATAAATTATACCTCAATAAAGCTGTTAAAAAATAGCAGATGCTTATTAAGGATGTCAGAAGGCTACATGAATGGGGAGGGCACACATTAAGGACTACCTATCATTAACTTAACATAATCCCATTACTGGTGAATGAGTCTTTCAGGAATACTTCCTGCTGTTCGTAGAGATTCTCTGTATTTATCTAGGATATAGCCTCACAGTTATATCAAGCAGAGACAATTGAATCCACCAAGCTCAATCCAAGCATCATCTCTCCAGCAGAATGAAACAGGATAACCCCCAGCTTAGCCTGCAAGAGGATAGGACCTGTCAGCTGGTGCTAAAGCTACCATCGCCTTCCAAATGCCTTCCATTTATCTCAGTGTGGGTTAAAAGGCCCGAACAATATAGTCATCACTTGCCACTTGACTGGCCTTTCCTTTGTGCAGGGTTTGGGTGAGGATAACAACTTACTTTTGTAAAGCACTTACAAAGCGCTTTAACACACACCAGCGCATGTATCCTCATAGCAGCCCCATCAGTACGAGTGTCAGAGAGTGTTGGCTGACAGCCTCTGTAGTCGCCTCTGTCCTGGTCAAGATGATGTAAGCGAAGATTTGCCGTGTGGGCCATGGGAAAGCTTGTGGGGTCATATAGCTACAAAGAGGCAGACACCCTGAATCTGACTCTTCCTCTTCCTCCACACCTAGAACAAGGATGTCACCTTCAAAGAAGAGTAGTTCTACTGGGACATTACGGAGCAATGATGGGTGAGAAAGGCTGAAACACCTGACACCATCAAGGGGATGTGGGTCCTGATGCTGGAGCCCTGCTGTGCTGACTAACGTGGCAGCTCCCTGGAATCTATGCTAAGTGAGACAAATGGATCTTGGCATGTTGAAGCCATCTTGGTTGGGCTTTCTGTACATTATTGCCAAACCTACACATAACTGGTAAGATAGAAAATATTAATCATATATCTAACAGATGCAAAGACTAAGTCTGAAAAATTATGCAGCCCAACCAAGGTCAAGCTACCAGCAAGAGGGAAAGCAGGGACGAGTAGCCAGGTTTCTGTGCCTAATAATTGTAGTAACAGCAGCAACAGCAAAAGCCAGCAACTGAGCATGGAGTGCCAGGCCTCTGATCCCATGAGGTGCTTTACTTTCCTATGTCCTCAAATTCTTACCGTTCTCCAGGTGAGGTGTTCTCCTCATCCTGTGGTTAGATGAAAACACTGAGACCAAGAAAGGTCAAGTCTATTGGTAAAGGTCTCAGGGACTGGAATTCTAAATGGACATATGCCTGGAGTGCCAGGAGAGAATTAAGGGATGAAACATGTCTCCTAGCATAGTCGCTTGATGCTCTATGTCTCCACTGACTAGAAACATGGTACAGGAAATAGGGTTACCATAATGGGATTTACATTAGCTAGCCAAGCTCAAATGTTCGCATGTGTGTTTATAGCTGCTTTCATCCTATAAGCTGCAAAAGGGAAGTTTCTAGATACAGTGGCCTTTTTTGCTCTTAAAAAAACACCTTTGTATCTCCACATCTTCCAGAAAACCCACACTGACTTCAGGAGGTAGGGAATTAGTAACTGGAAAGTCTGCTTCTTTCTGGAGATAGGGTTAAAAATAAAACACCACTTTTCAGCAGACTTGGTGCAAGGACAGCAGTTTGGACCCAGAACAAGCAAGAAGAGAAGAAAAGGAGACTCCAGGTAGAGATCAGAGACCAGTGGCTGCTGGGACAGAGGCTGTAGTTTGAGAAGGAAGCACTAGGTACCAGGCCTCAGGGGCAGATACGACGGTAGTTCTGGGAGACTAAGGGCAACCTTGGTGGTTTGGAGTTACTGGTGTTGTCATCACAGGGTCTGTGTGAGTTGGGCTAGACTTATTGGAGAGTGGTATAAAACTATCCAAGGGACTTGAGGATGCTAATTACAACATGCTGTCTCTCCCCAGGAAGCTACCTCTCCCTCTGAGATGGGTAGCCACATCATTCATCTCTATTGGACCCAAATGAGTTGTTCAACCATTAAGAACTTAATTGGTTTTTCTTTCTGGATTCCATGCCCCCCCCCAACAATGACTGAATAATTGATTCACTTATATTGGGGCATCCAAACTGATGGATGAGCCTTTCAGAGGGTCATGGATTCCTAAGCTAGGGAGAAGACATGTCTCAGTGCCTTCTATAATGTCTGGCTGGTACACTCAGCGGCAATCCTATTCTCCCAGGTTTCCATGCACAGGATGTCTCTTGATCATAGTAGGTGCTCTGCTCCCTTCAAGAGGCAGTGTCCTCTGTCAGGGAGGTAGGATTTCTTCCTTTGTGATGAGACAAGCAGTGAACTGGGCTTGGAGGGGAGCATGCCAGCGCCTTTATGAGGTATGTGTCCCTTTCATCCCCTCAGCAGCACTGTTCACAGTCAAACTTGCCCTGAATCCTTCCAAATGGTGCCATCTCCCTGCACACAATTGATTCAGCATTTTTACCTTACAAGAAACTGAGATCTCAGCACATGTTATCACTCTGAAGGCAATGCTCACAGCCACGTTAGCATCCTATACTCCTGAGAGGCAAGTCTCCCTCCCCAGGGTCACTAATAGCAGTGTGAATAGCTATAAATCTAAGGGTGTTAGGGAGAAATTATTAGGCAAAAGTCTGAAGAGTGGGAAATCGGATTCGGCTCTTGGAGCATCATCTTTGGCTTCTCAACACCTTCCCGCTGCCTCTACCAACCTCCAACTCTTCCAAGCGGGAAGCTTCCCACCTTGACTCTCCAGGTGACAAACTCTCAGCTTCTCAAATAGATGACTGCTGCCTAGCTCCCCAGGCCATGCTGCAGCCTTAATTCTGCAGGCCGGTCAGAATGTCTCAGCATACCTGCATATTGCCTCCTAGAGCAGTGTGGGATGTATGACGAGCTAGCGTTGCCCTATCAAAAGCAACCTAACTCATTTAACACTGAGGGCATGTACTGTTTAAATCCTTTCTCTTAGATTAGAAAAACAATAGTTGTTTCTTTTCCCTCTTATTTCAGCAGGGTTCCAGATAATAAAAAGATTTATAATTAAGCCAGTAGATTTACTTTTGCTATGCCATCCTAGATTATGAAAAAGTATAATTATATGCAATTAAAAAATGAACAGTATTTCTTACCCGAGTGAAGCTTTAAAAGTCATTATGAATCCATTAGCTCAGCAGACCTTACAAATGGCCTTCACTATTCTGGACTTCATTTAAATTTACAGCTGAGAGAAGGAACTTTTCTCCATTTCTATGTAGGGTATGTGTGTGAGTGTGCATGCGTACTCACAAGCATATGCACTGCTACTGTTGTCTTCTCTAAGTGACCAGACATTCATGTGACATTCTAAGGTATGCTCTTGGTACTGAACTTGTCACAGCCACTCCAACTCTGTGGCTTTGGATGGCTTGCTTTCGGAACCTGCCACTCACCGCTATCTTAGCCTGTCTCTACCTCTTTGCTCCTGTAAGGTAGTGTGACTGGGTTACTTAGTGCCACACACACAAGAGGAGGCCATTATAGTTATGAAACTGTTTGGGTTCTGCCTCCTTCCTCTCCCCCAGCCCCTTCAGCTCCACTTGTCCCAGTGAATTCATGTGTGTCTGTGTTCCTGAAAAGTCAGCTTTCAGTTAGTTGCCTCATTTATCCAGATAATTGCCTAGCTTGATGGAAGCCTGATCTTCTTGATATCAGGATCAATTGATCTAGATAATTCGAACACTGCTCATGAGTCTTCTCAATTGAGCCTTCGTGTATGACAAGAAGTTGTAATTACTGAACGTTTCATCTGCATGAAAAGAATGGATCTTGTGCACACATCCCTTCTCCACTGTCCCTTGTCCCTTGGAATCATCCTCAGAGTCCTCTCTGGCAATAGTGCAGGAATCATAGTAAAGCAAGCAAGCAGATGGACCCCACTGCAAGAGCTTTCACTGGATTGGTAAGGGTTCTTTCCTCCTCTGCAGCCTTGCTGTGTTTGCCTGAGAGCGTCAAAGCCTCCGGGGATTGCTGTAATTAGGGCCAATATCAGAATCATCTGGGAAGCAGCTAAAATACCATACAAACAGAATCGGAAATTCTGGAAGCAGTTTTCAAAAATGTGCATTTAAATTCTGTCTCTAGATCCAGGTGTGGAGTTTAGGCCGGTAATCCCAGCCCTGGGCTCCGGGGTGGGGAGAACAGAGGTGGAAATGATCTGCTTCCTCGTTCTGGGTTCATCTGGAGCATCCTAGACTACAGCATGAGACCCAGCCAGCCTGGCATGGAGCATTCACTGGCATTGATATCGCTTTAGCCCAGACCGTGGGCTAATGGAAGGAAATCAGAGAAGGATTCTTTCTTTCCCCTTTGTCTTTCTTAGATCTTAGACAAAAGCATGGGCCAGCAAAGCTCTCAGGAGCAGAACCAGATACTTCTGACTCTTACGTCTTTTCCGAGATAGCTGGCCCCATATCAGGTGATGTTACCAGAGCAGGAGAGGAGGCCTCCCAGGCACCTATCTCTTTTATTGTGGTATAATCATTAAGTGGACACAAGACTCTGTTCTTGTTTAGTTTCCAGCTTTTAGATATTCTATTTCCAATGAACACTTCATTCATTGGAAGCCATCAACAAATTCCTTAAAAATTAAAATACTGCAATCGTCCAAAGTGAAATTCAAAGAGGCGATAAGTGGGCTAAGGGGAAAAGACACAGGACTACAATTCAGGAGAACCAAACTTTAACACCAGCTTTACCACAACCCTGTGGCATGGCCTTGAAGAAGTACTGTGGGTTTTCTGGCCTTCAGTTGCTAAGAAAGGTTTAGTCGGGTCATACTTAAGCTCCCGACTGGCTCAAATACTCTGGATAATAGCACGCTCCAGTACATGTTTTTCTATTGAGTAATATGCTTGTACTGTGGGTCACTAAAGAGCTTTGTAACTGTGATCAATTTATTCATTTTTCAGCCTTGATTTTCATTTTAGTTGGAATAATAAGATTCTCAAGCCCATACTGGAGTAAGGATTAAGTGAGAAATGCATCCTATACTCCCAGCATCATGCCTGGTACATAGTAAGTCAGGGACATTTAACATGATGTCATCATCATCATCATCATCACCATCATCATCATCATAATCATCATCATCTTTCATGTCCCATGGACCCAATTTTCACTAGCCACATGTCTCAAAATGATAACAACCAGCAAGTAAAAAATCAGGTCATTATCCCAAGCCCAGATTCAGAAAACTGGGGTTCCCTTCTGAGAAAGCCCCACCCTCTAGCCAGATCTGTACTCCAAGCTAGAGAGGGTCACTCGGGCATTGTGGCATGGCATTCATCCGAGGTGTCACTGTGTTGAAGGGGGTGTACTGTGTATTCTTTTAATAAATGAAGTCCTTGAGTATAATGGGATCCCAGAGGTCTGAATGCTCTGACCTTCATCCTGTACTCCCTGTCTGGCACTCTGTGGACATTTTCCTTTTAGAGTCCCCCTTGAGTCCAAGGCTTGCAGAAGATGACTTTCCCTTTAAGACTGCTGTTTGATGCATTTTCCTTTTCTTCTCTAAGTACCTCAAAGCCATGCTTGTTTGTAAACTCCCCTTACCATGGCTACAAAGCTTGGCTCATTAACATGCAGGCAGTAAAGTAAGGCAGGATCTCCAATTTGTCATGTTAAAGGAGGCAATATAGCTGTGGAGAATAGCATTAAAAGACCTTAGTTAGAGATATGACTTCCACCCCCAACCCACTTGCAGACCAAGTCTCTTGGGACCAAACTCTGCTCCTGAGCTCAGGCTAGCACAGATTTCAGTGACGGATGTTCTTTCTGGGGTGGGAGGACCCAGTGCCGGTCTGGTTGCCCACTCCCTTTGGAGTCTCAGAATTATTTTCTGATGCTTCTCCGTCTTGAACAGCTTCCATG